CCGAGTACAAAGGCCAGGACAGACCACAGTGCCACAATACCAGAGACTCTAAAGGGCAAGAACAATAAAATGCTGTTAAGGCTACTTATATTTAGGGCTTAATTTTGTTCTTATTAAGGACTGAGATTCTTTTCCAAACCATGTCAGGCCAGAAAGTCACCAGTCATGAGCTTTACTGTCACCACTTCATGAGAGGGGTGCATTTTGAATCTTGAATTCTTTCCTAATACTGAGCTTTCAACACTGCTGTAGAAAAAGACACACCCATCCCACATGTTGGAGTGCTGGAGACTGTCTCTTTCTCCTCAAGCTTATTAGAGCTAGCACTACAGCTCATTAAGACAACCCTCTGTCAGTTATGGTAGCAAATACATTGGGTTTTGCCACCCATGGGGTAATATTCCCTGGTTAATCAGGATGGAGAGTGAAGTCCTGCTCCCCACAGAGGAAAGCTCACAAACAGCCACTCAGCAGTCACAAGCAAACCTGCTTCTGGACCCCTCGTTCTCCTGAAAGGCCAGCAGAACGCTGCAAAAGAGAAGCTGGCCAATGCTGTGACAGGGGCAGGCACCTCGAAAGGAATGCTGTTCCATGCTGCTCCCCCTCCCCACACCCACGATTTCAGTTACTCACTGCAGCAGGCAGTTCACGCGTGGAGAGTGCCTCCAATGGCGATAGACTGAAACCCGGAGGTGAGGGTGATGCTTATAATCTCGCAGAACAAGCCTGACGCTGTAACAAAAGCAAATGTCCTGAGCCATGGCTTGCAGGCTGCTTCAAGACAGGAATCTCTTCACCAAGAGTCGTCGCAGCACAGGGAGGGTGGGATGAAGACTTGGATCGGAGAAGATCAAGGGACAAAAAATTAAGGCTTTCCAGTGACTTACTGCTTAAAGCGATTGGAGAGCAAAATGAACTGGTTCCTTGAAAGTCGTCTGACATCAAAGCGACAATGAGCTTTAAACTCCTGGTAAATCTGCCTTTCGCTGAGCCCTGGCCAGCCTTGAACGTGAACAACCAGGAGAGGGGGATATTGGCAAGGAACATCCTCCCCAGAAAAATTCTGGAAAATGTAAAATATTGAGACATATCTGAGTTCGGAAATACTATAGAAGCACTACTAATACAATTGGAAAATATGAAAAAAAAGAATAAAAGACAAGTTGTACAACACAGCTGCTGGTGCAAAATTATTTCTCTTTCATCTCAGGATTCTTCTAAGCATAAATTACAAAAGCAAACTGTCAGGATTACCATGGAGAAACCACCAGCGAAACAACAAGCTGTCTTGCAGAGCAGAGAGAACTAGGGCGATGTAAACTGACTAATGCCGTCTTATCGGATTGAAAATGGCAAATGACTTGGGTTTCTGCTTTGCAAAATGTTTTAATTTTTCTAAGGTCAGTAGCGTCACTTGTATGATGGCAACTTCTGCCAAGTTGGGCCCAGGTGCTGGCACATTTTTCTCCCCTAAGAAGCCATCAACCAGGCTACTGACCTATGCACCCCACCAATGGGTCACAAACCTGCAATTCATACTCACAATGTTTGAAACACCACCTCGAATGAAATTCACCTTGTTCAGATATTCAGCTAACACTGAGAGATAGTGGGAGAAAGAAGGATGAGCCTCCACTGCATCACTACATCAGAAAACAAAATGGAACAAAGTTTTGTTTGTTCAGCACTTCACTGCAGCACAGCGTCGCTGGAGCACAGATATTCTGAAGGAGCTCCTTAACAAGTGATAAAACAGGTATTTCAGATCTTGGTGTGTTCTACAGAAGTCAAAAAGCTGCAAGCAAAGTGAAGTGATTTGAACAGTTGCCTCTCAGAAATTTAACTGAAGGCACTGAATCACAAAGATTGCAAAAATGGAAACTAATGGGAAATCATTTGACCCTTATCCAAGTGAACTGAATTTGAGAGAGCCTGTTCAAGGATCCGGGAGTCACAATGCCACGTCCCAACCTCTGAGCCATCACACAGCCCTGATTTCAGTTTTCAAATGTCAGCTTTGACATAAAGCTACTAATTTCTGATTTATAAAATAAAAATCTAATTAGAATAGTGACATTCCCAATAACACTTATCCAAAAGGAAAGCCAGCCTGCAAAACAAAACATCAGAGCCAACAAACAACTGTTTTACATAAGACTCACCCATGTAAAGCAATTTTCAGCAAATATTTAAACAGGACTCACCCTGTGGATCTGCACAGTAGCAAATGAGCCAACTTCAGAAGAACTAGAAGGAGAAATAACAAGGTGGCATTACAACAAAGCTAAACAAATGGAAAGCAAAAACTCACTAAAATGCAGCTAAATTACTAAAAGCAACAGATTGCATATAAACAAATATTCCTTCGTATCAGAGCTACAGAGCAGGAAGGGAATTGCCCAGTCCCAACACAAATTCTAAAGGAGTGTTTGAGAAGTGTTTTACCTGAACCGCAGAGAAATGCATCATAGCCTGCCTCATGAGGGTATTTCTTCTCAGCTGTGTCCGACAAAATGAAAACACCTTTAGCATACTATGGAAACTGCTCCACTGCAGAATCCTAACACACATGAGATCCACTGTTGTGCTTCGGAGTTTTTTTTACGCCCACCCTCAGCTTTGTTTCCTTCCTCACTCTGGAACCTTTACGCCCCATAGAAAGTCCATGCTTCTTCCGTGCATTTTAAAATCACACCGACAAAAAGGCAGCAGTTACACAAACAGTTGAAAAGCTTGGCGAGATGCATGGAAAACATTTTAACTTCCACAAAGATCTAAACCAAGCTGTGCTGCACATGTTACTGATGGTACAGGAACCATTTCAAAACCCAAGAGACCCTGCGCTGCGGGACACCGCGCTGCCAGGAAGAGCCAGGAAACATCTACCTCACAGTCAGTGAGGGGCTGCTAACGCTGTGCATGAGCCACGGAGCTCCTGCTACTTTCTGGGACCTCCCTGCCATCAGGTCCCACTATTCTCCATTCTAGGACCACTGGTTCCCACCTCCCCTTGCCCCTTTCAAGGGCTGCAGAATCTTCACAGCCCGAAGTCAGGCTCAGTTCAGCCCAACTGGGTGTAAATGCCGTTTGTGCTGGCAGCGTGATGCAAACCAGCCCTGAATTACCCCGTGTTACCCCTGGCACCTGCCAGGGACACACAGAACATGTGACATTTGGGGAGCCCCGACTTTGGGTCCAGACAAAAACCTGTATCGGCAGCTCAGTGCAAATTCAGTGGACCCACTGGCATTTGCTTGGGCTTTGCATGTGCACACACAGAGAATAAACCAAACCCATTTTAGCTACTGGACTTGGAATATTTGCTTAAGAACATACCGTATCTTGAGCAGTCACTTGCAAGAGCTATCACTGGGCACGTTGCATCTTTGGGATTTAGGTCGCTGTTGAAGACAAGTGGTGTGCAAGATTTTTGTCTTTCCTCATTATATTAGGAGACAAGTTACTGTTCTCTAGTGACCTGCAGCGTGATTTCAGAAAAAGCTACGGAGACTTATTTAAAAGGAACTTTGGTAGCATTATACAAAAAGGCTAAGATACTTAGCTGAATCGTATCTACCAGTTTTCTTCCTGAAATCTAACTTCCAAGTACTTTCTCAGTCTCTTTCCCCAATCAAATCTCCTAAGCAGCAAGTCTGCTCTAACTGCATACAAAAAGTGCAAATAGAACTAAAAATCAATGGAAAACTCCAGGGAAAGGGGTTAACTAGATGGTTCTGTTTGAATGGGGAACTCTAGAGGACAGATTAATAAACAGATACCTGTGGAATGACTGAAATAAAACAAAGAACAAGAAAGCATAAAAATCTAGTCTGAAATTGCTAAACAAATGAAAAAAAAACAGAGTCCCATTACTGGTTTTATAAGCACTAATTTTGCATCTCCTCCTTGGGAGCAGGAGGTAAGGGAAAAGAGGTAAATTTTTCCTTTTCTTAGCAAAACTCACATGAAAAAAAATTATTCACAGAAGTGTAAAAAATAACTCTTCTACATATCATGGCTAAGCTCACAAGATTCAACTACTTGTGTGCTCCATTTGAACACTGTATTTAGTTACTTCTTTGGGCTCAGTGCAGCTCTGGGGAGCTGCCATTTAAAGTTAGGGTGTATTTTCACCAAGAACTAAAATTCATTCACTTCATAACATGACATAAGTAAAATACAACTCTACAGTTGTATGTAAGACTTCCTGCAAGTCAAATTTATGATCAATGAAATAATGGTGGTACGAGAAGTGACTTACAAAGTAATAGCACGGTAAATTATTTGCTCTAAGAATTAAATTTACAAACACAAGAAACCAGCTGAAAGACATGTGAGGGAGAAAAGCATGAACAAAGGAAATGACTGACTTTGAAATATATTTCCCAAGAAAACACAGGATTGCTGAAGGCGTTATAGCCCACCACTTACCTGCACAAAACCTCATACACCTCCAGAAGATTAGATACTCGAGGAAACTGGCATTTCTGTAAAAGAAGAACATTAAAAAACTAACCAAGACAGACCTTGTGGAAAGTGAGCTCATGTACTGGTACTGCTGATTCATTAAATGAGATCTAAAATCAGAATTTCTCAGTGCAACACTGAGAGCTGGCCACAGCTCTGTAACCACAGGGCACTGAGGAAAGATACCCTTCTTTGGGGGGGTGAAAGACAAGCTTTAACTCCAAATAAACAGACCTTCACATCTCACCTTCCAGATGGATTTTGTCACAGTCTTGGTGTCTAGGAGGACAGGAAACAGGTTGTGAATGTTCCTTTTAAACTCCTCGTAGCTTTCTGAAAGGAACACACGTTGTGGAGAAAGACACCGTAAGAACTAAGGGAAAGCCAATGGTATTTCAAATGAGTAAAGAAAGAGAGGTGAAGTCAGAGGAATGGTGCACCCCTCCAGCGGTCATTGCTCAGAAGAGGCAACCAGCACATAGCTGCTTGCCAAGCACCAGGGTGCCTAACGACAGCTGGGCTCACCATCCCATCCCAGCCACAAAGGGGAGCAGCTACTACAGCATTACCTGGAAGGGGCTTGTAGAACTTGTCGTGAAGATGCATGAGGTCCATAAGCATGTTGTGTCCCACTAGGGGCTATGGGAAGAATAAAAAAACGTAACAGTCCATTGACGAATTTATTTCAAGAGAGCTCGGAGATAACCCGTTTTACGCAAGCTCAACAGCTGTAGTCCTTTCCTCAGGTGGACAGCACCTGCACATGCTCACCCAAAAAGTCATTTCAGGCTGCAAAGCTCACAGAAGGGCTACTGCTTTCAGGAAATCTGACTTGTATTTGTCAGCAGCATTCCAGTTTAAGCGGACCTAAGGAGCTAGGCAGATTCTCAGCCCAGCTAAACTCTGGTAAAATCTTCCAGCAGATTTATAGGCTCACTCTCTCACTCACAAGAGGAGGAACAGCCTTTGCCTGCACATCACTCTTCTTCTGAAGCTGAAATTCATTCACTAATCTGCATACAGAATGTAAGAATTTCCACACATAATCAGACGAATGGTCCATGTGGTCTGATAAACTGGTCTGTCACATGCTGAAAAGCATAACTTGCTCAGAAGACAACAATTTGACCAGCTCTTTTAGATGGTGACTCATGCTGAAGTAACACAAGGATTTTCAACATTGCAGACTCCCGCATTTTCTCTAGTGACCCAAGAACCACGTTGCAGAACGAGATTCTGGCTCCCTTTTCCCTGGCTGCACTTGGTTTGCAGGAGTAATAGAAAAGCAACGCAGGGAAATCTACTGTTTGGATTCGTAATTCTGAGCGTGCTTTTGGAGTGGGACGTGGTCATTAAGAACATGTAACATTTAACACTTTTTTCCTTCTAACCGTGACTGCAATCTAGGAATTCATCTCAGTTGTACCAACAACTAAACAGGATGATCACACTGACTTGAGTCATTTAATATAAATTACTACTTTATATTTTATCATCCCTCTACATCTAGTGTAGCAAATCAAAGAGATGAAAAATGAGAGCAGGGATTTTACCTTCTTGGACTTAACAAGTGTCTGGAAGAGGTTGGTGAAGCCCCGGGCAGACAAGAGAATGAGCTCCTTCTGGCAGTAGTCATAACGGGAGTTCTCCAGCAGGCGACGATGCTGTGGTCTCACTTTTTTCACCATTACCTGAAAAAAATAGTCACTGGGTATCTCAGCCTCCCACACAAGTTGCACGTACATTGCTTAATGGAGTTCAGTAACGCTGAGGACAAACTGAGCTTCCAGGCTACGAAGGAGGGAGAAACAGAGCATTCCCTGGGACCTCAGGACTGTCTCACTTGTTTTCCATACGAATATCAGTGCTCCAGTAACAAGAGAGACCTGCTCTAAGGGTGTCTTATAAATGCCTCTCTTGTGAGGAGGATATTTCCTACCACATTTTTTTTTGAGCACAAATGAACGTAATAAATTTAACTTGACACCAATACGGTAAGTTCATGGTGCCAAAACCCAGAAACAAACAGCAAACCCACAAACTGAGTCCCCAAAAACTATGCCTCAGGTGAGGAGACTGGGTAAATCTGTCAGCATTGACACTGGTTACCAGAGCAAAACAGTACTAACGCAAAACAAACAAACAAACAAAACCCTTCTGTAATCCACTTCTAAACAACTGACTGGTGTCATACTCCTACTATGTTTTGAGAAGCCCACAGCCATAGGTTTAATTCAGAAAATACTGCACTAAATGTAAAACAGCAGTAGTGAATAGCAAAACAGCAAGCCATATAACAGACAGAGTAAAAACTTCCAAGAAAATACATAGCAAAAATAAGCAAAGGAAAAGCCATCAAAAAAAGGCTAAAAACTGTAGATCTTGTTGAGGTATTGAAGGAGCGACCTAACGAAGCCTGGAGACACAGAGAGGGTCAGAGGACAAGCACTTCCAAGCTCAAGGTATTTTATGGCTACAGGACAACCAGAAACCAAAGTTACTTGGTTTTCTGGATCCCTCACAATCAACAGTTCCCAGAACATTATCACTGTCTTCTCCTCCTCCTAGACCCTATTGTTAAAAGTACAAGCCACATTTCAGAGTCCCTGCAAGAATGCCAGTCCTGTCTGTCTAGCTAGAAACCCTCTTTTCTAAAGACACGTTTCTATCTCACCTTCTTGTCTCCAAGAGGCTGTGTCCAAATGTTTTGGAGAGCCTGCCTCAGAACCAGCTGAACTTCAAACATCTGATGGCCTGAGAGAAAAAAAAGAAAAAAAAAAAAAGTAGTAAAAACTTCAGAGGTACAGAAAAGTTTATTTAGGAAAACACATTTTTCTAAACAGAAGGACTAATTAGATGCTTCTCCCCGAGTATACCGAAAATACTCCTAAATATATGACCTTGGAACATTACCACACACAATGACAGAAAAAGAAAAAAAGTCTCAGAATTTCAGGCAAATAAGCTTTTGTAAGGACACAGAAAAAGACTAACTGAAGAGGGAGGAAGGCTGATACTCCGAAAAAGACCAGCAGTGGTTTTGGCAGGTTTGAGAGCAACACACTCAAAAGCCAAGCACGCACACGAGAGGCACCAACACATTTTCCCCCACAGCTGATAAGGAACTACCTCAGTCCTTTTCTATCAGCATTCAAAAAGACACCCTAATCAGTCTTATTACTTATTTAAATAAGTGTCTTTCTTGTCACAGGTGCTCACCTTGGCCAAACTCTATCAAACTATCAGTACCATCATCTACTGCAGCTGACACAGCAGATACAAAACACCACATAATACCCACCTCCTGTATTTCACACTCTGCAAAAAAAAGCATCAACAAAGCCTTAAATAATTTCTGTCCTTCCTAACTTTCTGTAGTTTATTCCCTGATCTAGAGGATTAAGATTTGGTTTCTGTGAGCAAACCTACAAAGTATTCTCTGCTACAATTCGCTGTCCCTCAAATCCTCTAAAAAAAAGCACAGGAATTCCTCAGCCCTGCTAGAGGGTTCCCCAAAGCGAACACAGGTGCCAAGTGGCCTGTTTATCCCCACTGGGGTATATATAAATACACACATATGTATATGCCTGACAGAAACTGAGGCCAAGACAAGGGCAAAGAGTTGTAAAGGCAGGATGGGCACGGGTGCCTTCCCTCTCAACAGCAAAGGGCAGAAGCAGCCCCATAGCTACAGAAGTGAAGAAGCCACTCAGGGCCTCCAGGTGCCTGAGGGAGGCAGCCTGGTTCATACCACTCAGATCCTGCAGAATCATAGTCTCCTCTTCCTCTGCTGCCGTTATCCAACAGGTCACTTCATCGATAGCCTTCTTCAGCACATCCCTGTCCAAGGCACTAGAGCAGGATCGGGAGGGAAAGAAGCAAAGCGTGCAAAAAACCCTTTTACAGATGGAGCCTCGCACCTTGCTGTGGCAATATGTGGTATGTGGGTCTATGTGGTAGGCAAAATGCAAATGCAAAGGTATTGTTTCCCAACATTCATCCAACCCTCCGGATTGTACCCTGTGATCTGTCTTCCTTCAGAGACACCACAGCATGTTGGAACTGCTGGTGGTGAGGCATTCAGACTAATAGGCTGTAGTATTGCTAGAAAATGTGACCCAAGTGAAAGTGAGCTGTCAACGGTCAGTACTGAGGAGCCACCTCTCTGAACAGTGCTCACCTGCTGACTTTCCAGCTACTCGCTAAGGGCTGCTGTCTAAAGCTCTCCTCTTGCACCTCATTCATGTATGGGATTCCATCTTTGAGGAACTGAGGGGACAGAGGAAAAAAAAAAGCCAGGTTCGTTACTCTTCTCTGGACTTGCTTGCAGCATATTAGGGAATAGCAGGTTAGGCAGGTCCAAAACCAGCATACACTTGGAAAATACTAATGATCCTCAGAATATCCTCCTCAAAAATAATCAAAGATGCATTCTTACATAGAGGAAACAAAAGGATTTTTGTCAGCTGTAATCATTTTTTTTTCTCTGCTTTTACCTTTCTTTAATGAGATACTTTGAGTGTCATGATTATCACAATGCTTCCTGTCCATAACTGCTAAACAGTGCTCTTATGTGGTGACATAATCTGGGAATGTGGCAATATGTGAGATGCAGGTAAGTTGAGAATCCCCACCTTCATGGCTAATAAAGACTCCCACTGAGGTTTGTTTACTAACTCCTCAACTCACCAGAGACATGTTTTCTTTTTTTGAGGTGGAGAAATCTGTTGTTGACTGACAAAGATATGGTTATTGCCTCTGGGGCAGTTCAGAAAAAACAGCACTTTCTCTCCCTGTTGATAATGAACCACAGGGTGCATTCGCACTTTTAACAAGATGCTGTATACTCCAGAAATCTGGCATTTAGGGATACTAATACTAATTTCTCCTGTAATTGCACAGACTTCCTCTGTTCTAGATTTCTGGCAGAGAGATTACATACCTTGTTATAGTCAAAGCCATAATGGGACAGAAACTGAATACTAGATGCAGAGAGGGTGAATTCAATATCCTTAACTCCCAATGTTGATGGAAAGAGAAAAAAGTTGTATGAATGCACCACATACCTGCAATGAAAAGAAAAATCTCTCTGGAAGAAAATCACAAGAAATAATTCCTCTCAAGAGGATTCTGCCACAAACTTCGAGTGCACCGTCTTCATTGTAAAAGAAAACCTCTTCTTTACTTACGTGTTTGAATTTTCATTTGAGAATATTGCCAGCCCTACAAGAGAGAGAAACCTCAATTGAAATAGAAACGTTTAGCTGGATGTTAACAGATACCACGAAAATTACCCAAGCGATACAGGGATGCCCTGATGCAGTACGTGTTTTACATTCCCTAACACCGCTGTGAAAATCTTAACAGCCACTGCCAGGCCACTCCTCGGCTCCCCGAGAGCTGAACAGGGACAAGCTTTCAGTGCTATGCGGGAAAAATAGTCAAGTGTGGTGAAAGAGCAAATGGAGCGAGCAACGGGTGAGATAAGGCGAGTTGTTGACAAAAATCTCCAACGACGCATACACAGGCCTGTGGGTCCAATTACACTACAGAGTATTTGGAAGGAGCTAAACAGCAGCACAGAGGATGAAAACACATGTGCTGCTACTTAAGGGTTGTTTTTTCTATTAAACCCTAAAAAAGTACATTAAAATCTTACCTAGCCTAAGGCTTTGAACAGTATTTTAAACAGTTTTCGAGCTGGTTTCTTGACCTCTAGCTGGTCCTTAACTGTCAATAGCCTACCACAGGCCCTTCCATGTGTTGATTTTTTTATTATGTTGGGAATATCACAAATACTAGCCTTCCTTTTCCTCTCTCATAGCCCCCTGACTCATACACTGTATCAAATGACACAGAGCTGATGACACCTGACATCATAGAATCGTTTTGGTAGGAAGAGACCTCTAAGATCACTGAGTCCAGCTATTAACTTTGCACTGCCAGGTGACCATTAAACCATGTCCCTAAGCACCAGATCAACAATTTGTTTAAATACCTCCAAGGATAGTGAATCGAGCACTTCTCTGGGCAGCCTGTTCCAAGGCCCAATAACCTTTTCAGTGAAGAAGCTTTTCCTAACATCCAGGCTAAACCTCCTCTGATGCAACTTGAGGCCATTTCACCTCATCCTTTACTTCTTGCTCGCATCCTCTGTTTTAAAACCCCTGTATTATTATCTGTGATATTTAAATATGAACAACGTAAGGCTAGTAAAAAGTACATGGCCCACCTGATTTTATTTAAAGTATTTTAAAAGTTGATAGTATTAAACTTCAGGGTGGGGAGGGGAGCCCCACTGTACCACAGCAAACAAATGTCTGTAACGAGCAAATTAAGACCACAGCTTCCTTCAGGGCTGAGCAGCTGGCAAAGGACTGGTTACAACAGGGACCCGGGGAGATTGTTACCCATGTCAGAAGAGCACTTACCAAGCTGGGTAACAGTGAAGCGCTGCACGCTCTGCCTGACCTTCAGGTACCGCTCCGCAGGGGAATCAAACAGGCTACAGGCAAAACCAGAATTGGGCACACAAAGGTTAGCAACGTGCAGGTTGTTCTCACAGAGCTAGAGCAGCAAAGCCTCCCTCACGCTTCCAGCCAACAGCTTTACCTGGGCTGGTCACTGGGAGGGGAAGTGGAATGTAAGCCAGTGAACTCCACATCAAGGGCTGTTGAGGTGCAAAGAACACACACAAAAATATATCTGAAACGTGAAGCACACGTTCCACTAGCGCTTCATCTCTGACACCACCTCTCTTCACCTTAGTGACCTCCACGTCAAACTCACCAGCAGCAAACCCTAGAGAAAAGGCAACTGAGGGCTGCGAGTGCGGAGCCTCCCACCCCCTCACTCCTGCGGCTGGACCGGGAAAGGGAGGCCCTCGGGCGCCCGGCCTCGCCCCGGACGCTGCCTTCACACCGGGTCCCCGTCTCACCCGCCCAGACAGACCCGATGCCCTGCCGCCCCACC